TAAATTTTAAAAAACATATAACACAGAGGAAGTGACAGAGAAAGAAGATGGTGCTTTACCGGAGCACTTTAACAGGTGTCTAACCCAGTCCAGGGAAATCACAAGACAAAAACAAGTGTTTAAGTAGAAGGGTGAAGACAACAGTTCAGGCAGAGGGAACCTCCTAGACCCTAAGGCGGGGGAAGGACTTTCTAGACTTAAGGAATTGGAAGAAGTCTAGAATGGGTGGAGTACCCAGTGTGAAAAGAGAAGTCAAGGAGATGAGACTGAATCTCAACCTCTGTCCACTTTAAACATCGCCTCCCAAATCACCTCTAGTCCAGTGCCCTCCTGCTTCATACCACCCCTTGACCTGTTCATTTCAGTTCATAGCCCCTACAGATTCCCAAGGTATGACCACAGCCCCACTCGGTCCCGAGCTAAACGTGTCCTTCACTTTTTGTCCAACGTCTTCCCATCCCCAACTTCTCTGTCCGGGTGCGCACCACATCCCCTGGTCGCGAGGCCCCCAGCTCGGTTACCTGGAGCTGGTGCAAGTGCAGAACGTAGCCTTGCACCAACAGCTGGAATAAGAGACGCAGCCGCCCTGGCCCTGAAAGCTCCTCTAGGCTCCGCAGCCTCCGATCGCCAGGCCCGGTTCCGGGAGCCTCGGCTGCCTGGGCCGCAGGCAGGGCGCTGGGGATCGCGGCCTTGGCTCTGGCCCCGTGGGAGCCGAGGCCAGGGAGAGCCACCCGCGTCCCCAGCAGCGCCCACCGCAGCCTTGCGCAGCCCAGCGTACCCATACGATTCATGGCTCGCGCCGCCACGCCTTTGGATAGCGAATACAGAGCGCCAGCAACTTGTCCAGAGACAAAACAGCAGGGGCGGGTTCAAGGGTACCGGTAGCGCAGGGCGGGCCGGACGAAGGTTGACCAGGCCTCTTACTGCTCACTTTTCCTTGCGGTCTTCAGTCCCTCCAAATAGGACCTGAGGGACTCGCAGAAGTCACCCTTTCCAACTGTAAGCCTCCTGGCTCGGGGAGGGGCCGGACAAGGCCAAGGCAGAAGATGCACGGGGGACTTACGGGAGACCCACAGAGCGCTGACGATGGCCGCCTCTTCCGCGACTCCCCCACCTCGCACTTCCGCGAACTCTCGAGGAGAACTTGAAGCTCGCTTGGTCTCAATTCCCGGCAGGAGTGCGGCAAAGTTCTCGGCAGCCCGGGAGCCTTCCAAGACGGGGAGGCCGGTTCGCCATCCCAGAGCGCCAGCGTCTCAGCTGATCTCACTTCCCGGAGGGACCAGGAACCGACTGCTGAGATTAAACCGGCCGCTGGCTTTTCCTGATAGCCTCCAGTGTTGATCCCGGAGTCTGAGGGCTGAGCGAGGAAAGAGCAAAAAATCCCCCTGTGCAGAAAAGCAAAGAGCAAAAAACCCGACCCTGTCTCCAGGGTCATCTGATTCCTGGAGGGAGGAAGCCAAACAAATTTAAATATTAGGGTTTTCAAAAAATGCAGTTCTACCCCTCTCCCTCCCCACCACCCACATACTCCCTGGTCTGCTGAGGCAGGATTTCTCAAACTGCAGGTTAAGACCAGATTTAGTGAATGTGACCAAAATTATCTTTTAATAAGATGGAATAGAACAAAATAGTACAGAAAATATTGCAAGAAGGAAAAGTATTATTTCATGAATTCTTTGTTTCATATATGTATATTCAAAGTACAAGTTTCAAAAAGTTAAAAACATAACTCATACACGAGCTCAAAGCTTATTCAACCCATTAGAGGTAGAACCAGCAGAATGATAAAGCTTTTTCTAAGACCATTTGAAGAATTGGTTATTTACAGGCAGCCAGAGGCAGAAAAGGCATATTAAGTTCAAGGGGCAACAATTAGACTGACAGCTGATGTAGCTAGGTGTGGATTTCTTTTCATTTACCCCCTTAGGGGTCAGAGAGTTTCTTGACTCTGTGACTGAATATCTTTCATCAGTTTTGGAAGTTTTCAGATATTCAAACATTCCTTTTACCCCATTTATTTTTCTTCTCTCCTAGGACTTCAAATTATATATATATATGTTAGACTTTCTGACTGTATCCTCCCTGTCTCTTACCCTCTCTTCTGTATTGTTCTATCATTTTGTCTCTTCTAACTCATTCTCTATTCAGCCGTGTCTGATGTTAAATCTATCCATTGAATTTTAAATTTCTATTATTGTATTTCTCAGTTTTTCAACTTTAGTTTTTTTCAAATCTGTCCTTTTTAAAATATTTCTAGTTTTATGCCAAAATTCTTAATGTTATTTTTTTTTAAAATAAATTTATTTATTTTTTGTCTGCGTTGGGTCTTCGTTGCTGTGCACAGGCTTTCTCTAGTTGTGGCGAGTGGAGGCTACTCTTCGTTGCGGTGCACGGGCTTCTCATCGCAGTGGCTCCTCTTGTTGTGGAGCATGGGCTCTAGGCACATGGGCTTCAGTAGTTGCAGCACATGGGCTCAGTAGTTGTGGCTCACGGGCTCTAGAGCTTCAGGCTCAGTAGTTGTGGCACACGGGCTTAGTTGCTCCACTGGCATGTGGGATCTTCCCGGACCAGGGCTTGAACCTGTGTCCCCTGCATTGGCAGCCGGATTCTTAACCACTGCTCCACCAGGGAAGCCCAATGTTATTTTTTATTATACCCTTTACTTTTGTAAGCATAGTTGTTTTAAGGATTATGACCAATAACTCCAATACATGGAATCTATGTGGGACGATTTCTATTGTCCATTATTTCTGGTGGTTTTGTACATATTGCCATGTTTCTTCCTGGGCCTTGTTTCTTTTGATTGTGTACCAGAAAATGTATTCATTAAGTTTCTAGTGGAACTAATTTGAAGTTTAGAATGAGTTCATTTTCCCCGTGGAAGATTTACTTTTATTTCTGACAGTTGCCTAAAGGCACCCACAATCCAAAATCACCATAATTCAGTTTCAGGGAATGAGATGCTTTGAAGCTGAACTGCAGTTCTTTAGAAGGCTAGTCTATTTCCAGTCCTTAATCTTTTTGGGTCCCAACCCAAAGTTTGGGTATAAGAGATTACGGACTCCAGCTATTCTTCACACAGCCCTGTGAGGCTAAACCACTCAACTTCTCAGCTTCCTCTTCTGAAAATGGGAAATGCTACTAATAGGAAAGTGGTACCTAATGCCTAACTTACCTCTGGAGTTCTGTCTTCTCTTGGTTCTTGTCTGATAGATCTTTATTACCTTGTTTGTTCTCTGATGCTGATTCCTTCAAGTAAATGCTGGTCATATTTTCTTCAGCTTTTCAAGTTATCCTTTGAGAGAGGACTGAGTCAGGTATTAAGAGAAGTGGAAATCCAATTTATGCTTTTACCTTTATTAATTCTTTTTCCCCCCCTCTGGGTTCATTTTCTTGATATATTATATTTTTAACTTTTTTTTTTTTAATGACTGCTTAGTGAAATTTTATTTCCTAATGAATGGACTTAATGCTACACATTTTCACATCATACTATTTTGGCCATATCCAATAAGATTAAATACGCAATTTCTTTCACTGTCACTCATTTCCCAATAGTTTGTAATTTCCATTTTGATTTTCTTTTTAATCTAAGTCATGCAGGAAAGTGTTTTTATTTACTTTCAAATAGTTGTAGTTTTGTTTTTTGTTTTGAAAGGGACCATTCTTTTGTTATTAATTTATAATGCTATTACATTGTGGTCAGAGTATTAATGATCTGCTTTTTAGAATTACTAAAACATTTTTGATGGTCTAGTACTTGTTTATTTTTGTGACTATTCCATGTGTATTTTTGAAAAATATGTATTTTGTTTATTAACTTATTAATTTTGTTATTTAAACCCTCTGTAGCCCTACTTATTTTTGTCTACTTGATTTGTTAATATCTGAGAGACGCATGTTCAAGTATCCCCCAAATATTATGGATTTGTGGATTTGTCAATTATTTTGTGTCTTTTCAACAGCTTTGGTTTTATATTTTGAAGATCTGCTGTTAGGTTCATAAAGGTTCATGACTATTATATACTATATATTCTTGACTATTATATATTCTTATATAGCACCTTTTATAAATTTGAAATATTAAAATATTAAATTGCTTTGGATTTAGTTTGTTTGACTTTAATATTGTTATTCCTACTATTGTTATTCCTATGAATTTGTTTGATATATCTTTTATTCATCCCTCTTATTTTTCAGTCATTCTAGATTATTTTGATTTAGAAGTATCTCTCATAAATACCGTGTAGCTGGATTTTTTTTCTTACCTTACAAGAGAATCTTTAAATAGCAAAAATTATTTTTATAACTTGAATGAAAGTTTTAAAATAAATGAAATGAAATAAAAAATTTAAACATAATGAATGGTGGGACTTCCCTGGTGGCACAGTGGTTGGGAATCCACCTGCCAATGCAGGGGACACGGGTTCGATCCCTGGTCTGGAAAGATCCCACATGCAGCGGAGCAGCTAGGCCTGTGCGCCACAACTGCTGAGCCTGCGCTATAGAGCCCGCGAGCCACAACTGCTGAAGTCCTAGGGCCAGTGCTGCACAGGAGAGGCCGCTGCAGTGAGAAGCCCGCACACCGCGTCAAGGAGTGGCCCCCACTCGCTGCAGCTAGAGGGGGCCCGTGCGCAGAAGCGAAGACCCAGAGCAGCCAAAAATAAATAAATTTTTTTAAAAAACCATAATGAATGATAATTCATGGAAGAGGAACTATAAATGGCTCTTTAGCCCATGCAAAAATGTTCAACTTTACTTGCAATGAAAGACAAATCAGAACTACATCAGAAACCATTTTTCACCTATAAGATTGAAAAAGATTAAAAGTTTGATACCACTATGTATTTGAGGGTATAGGGAAACGAACTCTCAGTCATGGTTTAAGGAAGTACAAATTGCTGCAGAGTTTTCAAAATTTAAAGTGCACTTACTTTTGAGCCAGCAGTTCTGCTTGTAGGGATTTTCTTTTCTGCGAATATACTTGCACATTCGTAAAATCACAAATATACAAAGATATTTATTACAGCATTGTTTGTACAGATAAAGAAAATATTGGAAACAACCTGAACCCATCAGTAGGGGATTAATGAGATAAATTATAGTAAATTCATGCATTGGAATCATTTGCAGCTTTAAAAAGACAATGATACAGCTCTATGTGTACTGATATACAACAATTTCCAAGATATAAAATAAAAAAGGCAAGATGCAAAGCAGTAGTATGGTAGGCTACAACAAAATTATGCCAGTGTTTGCACATGCATAGAATATCTCTGGAAGGATACACAAGAACCTTGTAATTGTAGTGGCCTCAGGGACAAAGGTGACAGGGACACAACTTCACAGCATGCTCTCTTGGCTCTTAGAATTGTGTAGTATGTACTTGCAATATGTCAGGGTTTTTTTAAGTGGCTTATTCAAAAGTCACGTAGCAAAACATCTTGTTTTGACATTTCTGGAAACTTGTGTCTCAAAGTGATATCTGGCTATCAGGTAACTTGGTCACTTGGGACCTTACCAGGGCCAAAAAATTTAGTAAAAGCAATAATAATGTATTAAAACAATTAAACCTGTACATACATATAGTACCTTATTTTTTGTTTCTTTTCTTTTTTCTCCTTTCTTTTCTATTTCAGGGGAGGGAGGTATCTAGAAAGAAGTATGTTGGGGAAAATGTATATTTGAAGATACCCATGAATTAAGTACAAGGACAAACAGTGTGTATAAAAAAATTGGTTTGAGATTTGGTTAAAAAACTGGTCTGATTCTTTCGTTTAATTAACTCATAAATTTTTGTGATTTTGAAAATTAAAATAAATAAAAACTTTCTAAGCCTCCTGAACACAGAGAAGTTATGTTTACATTGCTTTCCAAGGAATTAAATTATACAGCAAAACAACCCCAAAGTAAAAATCACCCATAATCCCACCACTTATATAAGGGAACAAATTAAAAGACCTCTGCTTTGCTTCCCCAATTATATTCCTTCCAAGTGAAGTACTGTTCATAATTTAGTGCATAATCTTCCAGACCTTGTTCTATATTTATATAAACTTTTTTTCACCTGTAGTTGAAAAAAGCATGTTGAAATTTTAATGTGAATTCCCTTAAATATTATAAAGGCTTAGGGCTGTTTTTTTAAAAATATGCCTATTGACCCTTTCTATTTCTTCTATGAAGTACTTAGTCATATCCTTTGATCTTTTTTTATTGGATTTTCTGTCTTTTCTTATTAGTTTGTTGGAGTTCTTTTTCTACTTAGATTAACAGATTAACCTCTGTTACATATATTACAAGTATTTTCTCCTGGTTCTCTGTTCTTTATATCCTGGCTATTATTTAGGGTATAGGTCTCTTTGTTTGGCTGGTCCTGATTCATAAGCATAATAATAAAACTGTAATTCTAAGTATAGAGCTTTCCTGAGTTCTGTGAATCATTCTAGTGAATTATCAAACCTCAGGGGGTTGCAGGAACATGTGAATTTGTGGCCAGTTGGTGAAAACTACAGGTAGCCTGGGGACCTCCAGACTTGTGGCTGGCATCTGAAGTGAGGGCAGTCTAGTTGGGGACTATGCCTTTAAACTGTAGTCTGCACTAACTCCAGGTTTAGTGTCAGAATTGCAGTATTGCACTTGCCCTTTCCTTTCCTTGTGGTTGGTTCTAATTTTGAGGGATTACATTGTGCCTAACACATGTGAGGGCCCCAAACTGGTCCTCAGCTACTATTAGCCTATGCTGCCATTAACTGAAACATCTTCATTTCTACCTGGCTTCACTCTCTACCCCTATTCCTGACCAAAAGTCTCTCAAATCTCTCTCTCTCTCTCTCCTACTTTCCCACTTCCACAGCCTTTATGGGCCCCTGGGAGCACGTGACTCTTTCTGAAGGAGAACTTTGAGGTCATCTCAGGCCTATCTGCCTACATGTCTCAGATGTCCTCATACTTGGCATGAGGAAACGTCTGGGACTTCCCTTCCAGGAAGCAGGTACAGGTCTTTTTTGTTCTTAGATTCTCAGTCATTGGCATAGGAGAAGTGCAGGACACAGGCCCCTACATCAGGGACACACATCAGCCTAGAAGGAGGAGGAGAAGGAAGAGAAGAAGAAGGGGAATGGAGAAGGAAGAAGAATTAACATTTGAGGACTCACTATGTATCAGGCACTGTTCTGACCACTTTTCTAATATTAATTCATTTGATTCCTGCATCAACTCTAAGAGTTAATAATGCTATTATCCTAATATTTTACAAAACAGTGGGGCAGAGATTTAAAATAATTTTCCCAAGTCATACAGCTAGTAAAGTCAGAGCCAGAATTCAGGAACTGGGGTCCCAGTGATTATGAATGATCTGTACTGCCTTCTTTTCCATAGACCTCAGCATCGCTGCCTTCCCTTCTACCAGCTAAGGTAACTCTTCTGCTCTCAGAGCAGAAAATCCTGGCTCTCAGTAATCAAATATTTCAGCATTTGTCTGAAGTTCAACTTTTGCAAAGCAAATAACTATTTCGTTCTCTGCTGTGTCAGTCTTTCCCTAAAGGGAATGAGATGAAACGCTCCAACCGCTGCTTCCTTAATGTGGGAGGGCCACTCGATTACAAGGGAGCAGCTGGGGTTGTTGCTATAATCTGACACTTGAATGAGGCTCTCTATCCTGAAACAAAAGAATTTATGGAAACAAGAGGCAGAATGATTCAGTGAAGAGCATGAGTTTTATTAAAATGCTCATAATATTTCATTAAGAATTACAAAACCCTTTCAACAGTTGGTTCTCTTTCTCACACACACACAATTGGAAATATACACACCAAATTTAATAATAATTTAATTTTTAATATAAATTTATTGTATTTATTTATTTTTGGCTGCATTGGGTCTTCGTTGCTGCACACGGGCTTTCTCTAGTTGCCGCTAGTGGGGGCTACTCTTCGTTGCATCACCCTAATCTCTGCCCTCATGTTCACATGGCATATTCCCTGTGTGCATATCTGTGTCCAAATTTCCCCTTTTCATCAGGATATCAGTCATATTGGAATAGGGGCCCACTCTACTCCAGTATGACCTCATCTTAAGTAGTTATATCTGCAATGACCCTATTGCCTAATAAGGTCACAATATGATCAGTACTTCAGCCTACGTATTTGGGGGCACACAATTCACCCCATCACTAGCATATTCCTAGGAGTGGAGTTCCCAGGTCAGATGAGCTACTGATAATACTGTGATAATGAAATTATCAGTCTTAGTATGCAGCTCTCTGCAATAATTAGGATATACATGGTATATTTAGAATTTGCATTTTCCTGATGGCTAATGTGGGACACTGTTTTTTCCAAAGGTAGCTGCAACAATTTCCTTTTCTTTTTTTTTTTTTGGCTGTGTTGGGTCTTTGTTGCTGCGCCCGCGGTTTCTCTAGTTGCGGTGAGCGGGGGCTACTGTTTTGCTGCAGTGCGCGGGCTTCTCACTGCGGTGGCTTTTCTTGTTGAGGAGCATGGGCTCTACACACACGGGCTTCAGTAGTTGTGGCTCACGGGCTCAGTAGTTGTGGAGCACGGGCTTAGTTGCTCCGTGGCATGTGGGATCTTCCTGGACCAGGGATCGAACCCATGTCCCCTGCATCGGCAGGCGGATTCTTAAATCTTGACTGCCTTTTAAATTTTAACTATTCTAGGGACTTCCCTGGTGGTGCAGTGAATAAGACTCTGTGCTCCCAATGCAGAGGGCTAGGGTTCTATTCCTGGTCAGGGAACTAGATCCCACATGCCTGCCACAACTAAGTTTGCATGCCAAAACTAAGGAGCCCTGGAGCCACAACTAAGAAGCCCACGTGCTGCAACTAAGGAGCCTGCAAGCTGCAACTAAGGAGCACGCCTGCTGCAATTAAGACCTCACGCAGCCAAATAAATATTTTTTAAAAATACATAAATTTTAACTACTCTAGTGTCATCTCATCGTACTTTTATTTAATATACATATGCATCATGAAATGGTTATCTCCTTGGCCTTTTTTTTTTTTTTTGCGGTACGCGGGCCTCTCACTATTGTGGCCTCTCCCGTTGCGGAGCACAGGCTCCGGACGCGCAGGCTCAGCAGCCATGGCTCACGGGCCCAGCCGCTCCACGGCATGTGGGATCCTCCTGGACCGGGGCACGAACCCGTGTCCCCTGCATCAGCAGGCGGACTCTCAACCACTGCGCCACCAGGGAAGCCCTCTCCTTGGCCTTTTTAAAGTCAGCTTTATTTACTTATAAGAAAATTCATCCATCTTAAGTGTATAATTCGATGAGTTTCAACAAACATAGTCATATAGCCACCATCACAATCAAGGTACAGGATATTTCCAACCTGCTCAACTGTCCCTCCCCTCTGTCATCTATAATCCTTAGCAACCACTGATAAGCTTTCTGTCCCTAGTTTGCCTTTTCTAGAATGTTATATAAATGGAATCATAAAGTACGTAGTCTTTTGTTTCTGGCTTCTTTCACTCAGCATAACACTCTTGAGATTCATCCATGTTGTTGCACGCGTCAGTTTACTCCTCTTTTTGGCCTCCTCTAAGTAGTATTGAACAGATATATCACAATTTGTTTATTCATTCACTAGTTGTTGGATATTTGGGTTGTTTCCAGGGTTTTGCTATTATGAATAAAACTGCTGTGAACATTTGCAAGCAGGAGTGAATTGCTGGGTCATATGTTGAGTGTATGTCACTTCATAAGAACCTACTGAGCTATTTTCCAATGTACCATTTTGCATTCCCACCAGCAATGTATGTGTTCCAGCTGCTCCATGTTTGCAGACACTTGGTAGTTTCAGCCTTTTTCATTTGAGCCATTCTGCTGTGTAAGTGGTGTCTCCTTGTAGTTTTTCTTTTCTTTTTCTTTTTCTCCAAACGCTTATGTTGAGGGCTGACTTTCAACAGATTGCAGTGAGGGAGCTGTTCAGCTGCACACAACCCTGACCCAGAAGCAGGTTGTCTACGAATGGTTTAACACCAGATGCCCCAGGAATGTGCCTTGCGTGACGTGCAAGGAGGCAGCCCCCCTTTCTCTGAACTAGAGGCTCTCGGCTCAGGCCCCCGCCCTGCGTGTGCTATGGGCCTCACGGGGGAGAGAGGGAAGCACTTGGCCGCCTGCCTGCAGTAGGGACTGCGGGACCAGCCAAGGAGGCTTAGCCATGACTGCCCTGTGGTTCTGCCTTGCTGGGATTCTTATTTAGAGGTTCAGTCATAATCCCACAGTTGGTAGCTTTTCCCCGTTGGCTCCTCAGCCTGTATCACTATAGTTTTGTTTTGTTTTGTTTTTTCCGGTACGCGGGCCTCTCACTGTTGTGGCCTCTCCCTTTGGGGAGCACAGGCTCCGGACGTGCAGGCTCAGCGGCCATGGCTCACGGGCCCAGCTGCTCCGCGGCATATGGGATCTTTCCAGACCGGGGCACGAACCCGTGTCCCCTGCATCGGCAGGCGGACTCTGAACCACTGCGCCACCAGGGAAGCCCTCATTATAGTTTTAACCGCACTTCTCTGACAACTAATGTTAAGGGCTTCAATTTTTCTAAATGAATTATCTTGATTAAATCACCAGTTTGTCATTCCATGTTTATCACAGTTTTGTAGGAGCAACATGCTACTATAATAGTATCATAGTACCATTATAATAGTAACATGCTGTGTTACACGGTGTTACTGTTACTTTATGAAAATGGTTTTGGTGGTGTTAACTGTTTTTTATTAGTCTGCATTATATATGTATCAGGCACTTGACTAGGTGCTTTATGTATATTCTGCCCCCCCCGCCCCCTTAACCCTCATAACTACCCTACAAGGTAAGCTCTGGTCTCTTCATTTTACTAGTTGAGATTTAGAGATTATTATCTTTTTAAAATTGTGTTGGATTTCCCCATGACAGTCCGTAGCATTCCATGTGTCTCAGTCCATTATAATAAGGCACAAATGGGTTTTAGAAAACACCCACCTTGCTATTGATCCTTCTCATATTCTTCCACCTATGAGAAATCTGCCAAGAGCAGCATAAAGGCTGCTTGCAGCTCTCAATGCTCCAAAGCTGAGGAACGGTCAAGTCAAATGAGCCTGACATTAACAAGGGTGCAAACTGCTACAGGGAGATCTAAATGACCCAGTGTTGTTCGAGAGGCTGCATTAGACTCTCAAGTGGCGTGAAACGGAGCTCCCTCAACTCCACACCTCTGAAAACCATCACTGTTTCAAAGCAGTTGGGGAATCCATACTGTAAACAGAGCTTAGTCTTAGGACAAATCCAGAGGAAGCCAGGAGAGGAGGTCCCCCGGCTGCCTTTGGTGACTACCTTATTTGGGTAACGAATTCAGCTGTGGAGGGAAGCGGAGCAGACTGTGCACCTGGATTATCAACCTCCTGCACTGGCCCACTGTTGGATGGTCCCAGAGGGCAATAAGGTGTGTCCTTTCCATAGGGTCACAGGAGGCACAATCACCCTCAACTAAATAGCCTCAAATCATGTCGTACCTGTAACGACAAGCGTCCCCTCGGCACAGCTGTTACGTTCGTGCATGTTCTTTGGCTCCAGTTCAAGGTCTCTATTTTCTGTGCCCTGCTCCTCCCCTCTCCAGCCCCCAGGCATCCACTGCTCCCTTACGCTCCCTTTCTTATCAAAGCTTCTCTCTGAATAGGACTGAGTAAGCCCAATTCACATACTTTTAATTTGCATTCTGTCTGTGAAATATGTAACTAAAGAAATAAATCCCCAACAAAGTGTGAAACAGTAGAATGAATAATGGTGATACAGTGAAGGTAGGGGTGATGAGGTATCACCCAGGCCAAACCCTGTTCTGGCCTTCTTCACTTCTAAAATGTCTCCATAGCTGCTTCATTCCTTAGTGGAAAGGGTTTTACATTTCTTCCCTGCCTTTCCCTAATCAAGGATAGCAAATGGAGAAAGGAGTAACCATGCATTAAGTCCTATGTCCTAAGTGCTTTTACTATGTTTTACTTAATTTTCACAACCTTACAATGTAGGTATTAAATTCGCATTATTTAAAAACTTTAAAAAGTTAGATGACATGCCCAAGGCTACACAAACGAACTGAGATTTGAGCCCTAGGTCAGACTCCAAGGTTCACGCTCTTTTCTTATCCCCATGCCACCTCTCCATTAAGTATTCATTCTAAGTTCCTTAGTGTCTGATCAAGCTTGAGTGAATTTGAAGTAAACAGAAATGGTAACCACCCTCCTTCCGCCCCACCCCCGGCCCCCACCCCCAAATCCTTACTCCAGTGCTTCAGAAATACCCTGTACACTGCATTCCCTGACTCAGGAGCACTTGCTCCCCTTTCTCCAAACAGGGACTGGGTACGTTATCAAGTTAGGGAAAAACTGACATGTTCTGACAAACATCTACTCTACTATACCCTCAAATTTAAACTTTCCCAAAAATCTCATTACTTCCCCCAAATTCCTTATTTAGCTGAATACCTCATACTGTAGGTATGCATTGTTAAGTATGTATGCTGAATTCTTAATAAGCAAGATTTCATTTTCTTTCAAGGCTGAAAGGGAAGTATGACACAGTAGCCTCATTCCTTTCTCCAACCCAGCAACACACACACACACACACACACACACATACCAGATACTCAAAGGTGATGAAAACTTTAAAAGTATAAACATGTTTTAAGCTACTAAGAACACTCTACTTCCATCACTCATTTACTTTCCCCACAGCCCACTCCCCTCCTTCCCATCATGCTGCGGTCCCTTCTCCAGTTACGGGGATGGGAATGGTTGTGCTGTCCATCTGGGGATTCTCAGAAGGCAAAGTATTGAAGCTGGTTCCCAGGGAGTGGCACAGCTCTATCAGGCCTCCACACCTAAGCCTTTGCACCAGAGGATGAGCCACAACAAAACTGCTTAAGCAGGTGGCTAATTTTCCTAGGAATGCTGCTTCCTGCCCTCGTCACAAGGTTTGACATTTGCACTAGAATATTGCACCCACTCTTGCAGAACAAGAGGGAGTTGGCTTCAAGTCTAGCAGAAGAGATTTAACAGGACTGTCAAGGACCTCTCCTACGGACCTGACTTTGAAGTCCTTACCACTGCACAGAAGTGACCCAGGACTTTGCCATCAAGCTTTCTTCACAACTGTCAACATGGCCTTCACACATCAACTGTGTGGCCTTGAATGCAGTCAGGCCTCTCAGTGATTTTTCCAGGGCTCCCTCCCAACTCACCACAGAACTCCTGGAGCCACAAAGCAGGATATCTCTCCCAAGCTCAAGAATGAAGGCAGAGAAAGCCTGGGGTCAGACCGTGAGCAGAGCATCCTGCCTGATGCGTCAAAGGGAAAACCTGGGTAACTGAGTCAAGGAGCCAGTTGGCTTCTTGTTGGGCCCCGCTGACAGAAAAATGAAATGAAGTAAAGGGATTGTAGGGCTGGGGAGGGGGCGAGCAGCAACCAGGAAGTGCCAGGTTAAGGAGGAGCATCGTTCAAGTGAAAACAACCTTTCTGATCCAAACCCTCCCACCTTGGCTTCCCCCTGGGCCCAGGAGAGAGAGAGAGGCAGAGCTTCTGGCTTAGGTGTTTGTGTCCTGTGAGACCTCCGTACGCACAGTTCACGTGGTCAACATTTATTGAACCCTCACTGTTTACTGAGTCTTGGGGAGGCAGATCCAGTTCAGAGTACAAGGTTTAGTCAGGAGCCTCACTGGAAGCCCATCCTACAGTGGTGGCTGCTCCTGGAACCCACCCTCCAGGCCACCAGAGTCTGCATGCCCTAGCAACCTGTGAGCCAGACCCCGAACACCAGAGAGTGTGAAGGGGGAACCACAGCTCCTTCCACCCTCCCCTTGGATTGCGTCCTTTGATATATGGACCCAGACAGGCAACAGCAAGTGGGATTATCTGGGCTCCTTTACTGCAGCCATGGGAAATTCACAAAGTTCATAAAACCTCTCACCTCACAGGGAGACAAGAGCTGAAGGGGTAACATCCATGAGAGAGAAGTCTAGAAGGTTGAACAAGTAGTGATGTGAGGTCAGAATAGGAAGACCTAGGGCTACTGGCTGGGTGGGTATATGAAAGGAGAAATGGTCTGGAGGTGGGGATGCCCCCAAGACTAGGACGATAGGAAATGGTTCAGCATGTCATGGCCTCTGCCTGCTTATCTACTGAGGAGGTCTGAAGGCTTCTGAAAGTGACTCCTCAGGACAGGGGGTTGGGGAGGCAGGAGGGTGAGACCTGAGGAAATAAGGACCCTCAGAGGAACCTCCTCAATTATATAGAGAGCAAGGGACTTCAGGCCCGAATATGTTCAGTATGTTTTCTCCTCTTGAGCCATAACTCAGTCACTGCACCAAGGCCTAAAACAAACCACACATGGCTCTCTCAAAGTAGAAACCAAACCCTGCTTTATAAGGCTGAGTGGCCATCATTGGCTTCTCCACTGAGATATGAGGTGCCAGCCAGTGAACCTTCCTCACCTTGTTCCCCTCCCCACCACCCCTCCAGTCCGCCAGACACCCCCCTCTACAACTCAACCACTTCAAAAAATACTCTGAGGAGGGGCGAGGTGGAGGGGTGGGAGCTCAGGCTGGCCGGCCAGCCGGTTCCCATGAGGTAGCTAACGCTGGTGCGCCTGGGCAGGGGCTGGTGGAGGCAGGCCCGTCACAGGCTCACAGCAGCCAGGAGGGAGTCACCAGCTGACTGGGAGGTGGAGGAGGCAGAAAGCCTCGAAGTCTGCCCAGAGTACTTGATCAAGGGTATCGTCTGGGTGGAGAGGCTGGGCTCTTTGCTGGTGTCCTCACTGTCCTTTGAGGAACTGGGTTTCCTGGGGAAAGGGGAAAGGCCAGCTTGGGTCTTCGTGGGCTTGGGCATGGTCCCATCTCCAGAGAGTGGCATGCTTCCCTTGGAGGAGCCATGTTTTCTGAAGGGAACAGAGGGAGGAAGAAATGGCTGAGACATTGTGTAGCTGAGACTTTAACCCACGACCTGCTACCTTCAGAGTCTAGAGCAGGCATTCTCCGTATTCATTTCAGTACGGCTGAAAGTGGCTGCTTTTGCGGACGAGGCTGTGCTCCAGCTCAGCTTTACTGGGCACGCCAAGAGCCACCAGGAAGAAGATACTGTGGCTGCATATTCTGATACTCCCACCAACCCCCAACTGGAGAACGCTGAGCTCATCATACTCTGGGAAGAGAGGGAGGAGGAAAACTCCCCGAATTCACACTCAACACCCTTCCCTTGCCCAGGCAGCACTCACCCCAGCTTGCCAGTCTCTGATTTGGAGAAATCATTGAGCGTCACATCACCCTTTGGGACAGTCAGAATTGATGTCGGGAGAGTCCACTAAAAGCAAAGGAAGCAATGAGGCCAAAGGGCAAGGTAGAGGTCAGGGGAGAGTGTCTGGGTCTTAGGACTCTTTCCCAGCTCTACCTCTGAGTGATCAAAGGGCTCTTCCCTTCCCTACCCTGCAGGAATGGGCCCATATGGGGAGAAGTCTTGGTCCTCTCTTGATTCAGATAAGAAGCTGAGGCTACAAAGCATCTGATCCTTGAAAGAAAGGCATCCAGGGAATCCTGGAGGCAATTATTCCCTTGAAAGGGAAGGGCCCTGAGACACAGAGACCTGCAGAACCTTGGGAAGAAGTGAGAGGGTCTGGACCTACACCCAACCCATGCTGCACTCTTAAGGTGGAAGAGGGAGGGGCCTGAGGTAGGACTGTCCCCCTTCACCCCAATGGCACTACTCACCACTGGAGCAGAATCAGAGATGGATCCTGTGTGGAACCCTTTGTAGCACCAACTCCGAAGCAGATCTACTCCTAGGACAAGATTAACAAGGGTGGGACTTAAGAGGGTGGAACCAACTGGCCTATTCTTCTTGCCACAGAGGCCCACTTCTTGGTCTATTGGGATTTAATCTCTCATTAAACATGGCATGTGGGCAGGGAGGACACATCACCTTTGAGCTTGTTGCCATGGTACTTCTGTTCCCACTGGGTGGTGAGAATGTTGAAATATCGTGGCTGCTCAAAAAAGCGGAGATAGCGAGAAGAGATTCGAGAAGGAAAAATTCGTTCAAATTGACCACGGCGAGAAAACTCATCCTCCATCTCAACCAGAACCCGAACATCATCTGGCGTCAGGACATCCAGCACAGATGAATAGAAGTCCTGTGGCCCAAGGAACGGGGGGAGAAGGGTATGACAAAGAGTGTAAGCCAGAGGCAGAGAATCAAAAAGCTGGGGGATGGGGAGTACAGCTCTGGGGTCCTAAGGCTCCAGGACCAAAGGACCACCAAGGCGGTCTGGTGGGCCCACTCTGGGCCTCATCTATCCCCAAGTCTGCTGAGCTTATTCGGGGGATGAAGAGACTCTTGGCTGGGGTGAGGGGAGACAGGGGGCACAGAGGTTAAGCGATTTGTTGGATGCAGTCAAGATCAGAATCCAGATTTGGCCACAGCCTCGTGTCTGCCACACTTCCATCTGACTCCCTCATCTGCTCGGAGAAAGTCAAGCCTTCCAGGAGCTCAGTGCCCCTCAGGGAAAGAAACCCAAGGGTCTACAGCTCTACAAGAAGGGTGGGCTGGTACAGCACTTTGCTAAGAGGAGTGGTTGTTGAACATGTGATAAGGGCCATCAACTCTCTCCGGAATGACATACATTCCAACAAATCCCTGCACATCAGGGGATGTAGGAAACCCTGCCCTAGAGGGAAGAAAAACTGCTTGCCTTGGGGCTCCACAGGTTTGACCAGGGAAGCTTTCTACTAGCACTGGGGTGAAGGCAATTTCCTACCTGATCAGGAATTTTCTGGGTCAGGTAATAGGCTTTCTTCATCTTCTGTGCAGTGAAGTACTCTGGGGCCATTCGACATCTGTCCCTGGGGGAGCTGGGCAGGCTAAGGCAGAGGGTGGAAAGGGGGCAAAGGGTAAGGTCAGCAGCTTCACATCCTGAGGACATGTAGAGAGAGGGTCCAGCCCAGGAAGACACCCTTCTCAAGAGAAGACAAAGAAGGATGGACAGAAGTTCGTTACGTGAGTAAATCAGACTGCAATGCACTGCATTCCGGTAGCCTGAGACTCAAAGATGAAGTACCATGTAAGAACTAAAAGAGTACAAAGCACCCTCTTTAAGTTGTATTTAAATGATAAAAAAAAGGAGGACCATGGAACAATCACTGTATATATTTCAGTTTAGCTTAATTTAGTGAACACTTACTATAATAGATATCCAGCTTGGCCCTACTGGCTATGTAATCCTGGACAAATTCCCTGACCTCCCTGCACCTCAGTTTTATCACCCACATTACAACAATTACTGCTAAGAGAGACACAAAGATGGCCTCCAAGAAGCTCACAGGATGGCATGTGTCAAATGACAAATAACTATAGCACAGAGCCAAATATAAGTCTACAAGGTACAGTGGGGAAAGCAAGTTTTGTTACCAAAAACTTGAGCTCCCTTTCCTCAAGAGTGGTTCTGAGTGCTTTGTGGGGTGTGGAGGAGAGAGCCCACATTGAGCTAGTTTCATGAAGATGCTGCCTTCAGCTAGGCTTTGATGGATGGGTGAGGTTGAAACAGGGAGGTCTTGCTGAGTGGAAGGAGGAAGAAACCCCATGAGCAGAGGAGGGGACACCACAGGGGAAAAATGAGAAGCAGTGAACATTTCAGAGAGGAGACTAGACTAACTGATCCTTAAGGATTCTTCCAGCCTTGAGGTTCTATGAGCGATCCAGTTTGTCAGAGCACAGGAGCTGGGAAGAGGAATTAAGGGAGGGGTGCCTGGGAAAAAGAGGCTGGGGCCTTGAATGTCTGCTTGAGGAATTTTTTTTTTTTGGCTGTGCCGCATGGCTGGTGGGATCGTAGTTCCCCGACCAGGGACTGAACCCAGGCCCTCAGCAGTGAAAGCGTGGAGTCTTAACCACTAGACTGCCAGGGAATCCCCTGCTTGAGGAATTTAAAGCTGATCCCCCAGGCTCTGTGGGGATTCCTGGGCAGGGGAGCAATTAAGCAAACAGGCGTTTAGGGGCACTGACATGGCAGTGGTGTGTGAGTAGATTGAGTGAGTGGTGTGTGAGTAGACCGAGCAGTAAGGGAGACCAAGCAGGAGGGAACACCCAGACACCACCCCTTTCCAGAGTCCCTATGGGGCTGCTCATGCTGCCAGCCGAGCTGCAGACAAGCACGGAGGCCGACCTGGCGGTGGAGCTGCTGGAGCTGCTGGAGCTGGAAGCGATATCCTCTGCGCTGGGCAGAACAAAGCCCGCCAGGTTCAGAAGGTCACGGATCATCTGGCCTTTGATGCTGATGTCCAGTGGAGAGCTGGAGTGGAGGCTTCAGGGAAAGGATGCAAAGAGTGGTAAAAGCAGATGCCAAAACTGTTTCCAGTCCCAAGTCCCAGTCAATGCCAGCCCCATTTACATCCAAACTCATGAGCGCCATCACGGGGGTCTTCTTGCCCCACGGATAGTGAATAACCTCACACAGGGTGGTTCCTGCCCATGACCTTGCTAGGGAAAAGCATGCAGTAGGCATCAAGTTTAAAAGAGTAACTTTTAACAATCTGTCTCCAATGTCAGAGAACCCTGAGATAACAGCAAAGAATAAGGGAATGCGTAAACAGACCATGAAGGGAAAACACATATTCTAGTGAAGGAAAGGTTTTCCCAAAGTCAGCAAGACTGGAGCAGAAACAGGATCTTGAGGACACAGAAAGGCTTCTACTGCGAGTGTCCTGAGAATACCTACCTTGGGGAGATGTTGACTTCCAGGACCCAGGGCTTGAGGTTCTCATCGAGCATGATGTCGAAACCGAAGAGCTCGTGGCAGCTGTAGGGCCGCCGCACGTACATCTTCAGCAGGCTGGTCACATAGGGTTCTGACCTAGTCACAGGGAGGAGAAAGTATTCAGCTCAGCTCCTCCCAAAGGCTCTACCTAGAGCTGCCCTGCCAATGGAGTGGCTCAGAGACAGGAGGACAGAAGCAACCCAGGAAAAGAAGCTCTCAAGAGATGTCTGTGATCTGGAGCCAGCTTCTGGGGATGAAGTTCAGTAGAAGAGCAGAATTTAAGTCTATCCATTCCTTCCTAAACCCTGTCCTCAGAAACGGAACTTTTGACAGCATGGTCAAAAGTCTGGAGCACAGCAGGGTGGAGGCCCATAAGAAAAGGGGGGGTTCAGTGGCAGGCCCCACACCCAGGGTGGCAGTGTGACTCACGAGATGATCGTTTTGACAACAACGTCCTTTATCTTCTCCCAGATGGCATCACTGTTGACTCCCTTCTGGCTCAGGTAGCTCCATAAAGCCTTCAGCGCCCTGTAAGGCAGGAGAGGAGGAGGGAGAATTTAGGGTTGTAGTCTATGAATGAGCAATGAAGAAAAGAGAAAGAAAAAGGAATGAGAGGCCCAAAGGTATCTTCTTCATATATCTTCGTTTGATGTTTTGAATTAAGACAGAAATGAGTTGGATGCAAACAGACCAATTCTGAATTGCCAAGTGTTTATATAATCTCTGGGTCTTATATTAATCCTCCACTCACCACCCCCCCGAAACCTCCCCAAACCCCAGAACCCTGTGCTCCTCTAGACCTCCACTTGATGGGGACACTGTCTGGGTACCATTTGTGGCCCTGGCAGGCCGTTTCATCTTCATTGGCCTGGTACTCGGCATTCTTTTTATTGACACTGTAGTTGGTCAGGTGCATGAACTTGTTGCCAAGGCTCTTCATGGAAGGGGAATACCTGGAAGTGAGAGGAAAGGCAGAGGATAACGGTCCAAACATTTCCCCATATCCTGAGGAGGCAAAGCACAAGTGGACAGATCTTTTCGGATGCACAAGGGTCTGAGAAGTACACCTACTGGTAAGATTTCCAAAACACCACAGATAAACTCATCTCCCAATTTATCCCACCTCAGTCCTGCAGGAAGACCCTCCCTATTCAGTGAAGCAGAGGACCTCCTTATTTCCCCTTCCACATATAACTGTGATTTATAATAACAAATACACATATTGGTCTCTGCCCCCAGCCCCTGACACAGAGCTCCTAAAACCTTTGTAAATTCCTAAGTGGTAAGAGTACAAGGAGCATCTTTGTTCTCAGATTTGGTCTTTGACCCCAGTTCCCGACACAGAGCTCCTGAAACTCATAATTTCCCGGGTGATAGGAGCATCTTCTGTTCTAATGAGGCGACACTGGGTAAGCTCCTGGATGGCTTCTGGATGAGGGACAGTCACTGGAAAGACCAAGCCATCATTAGACAGTTGCAAGTTTCAACTCCCCCCACTCAACTCCCATTCTCTTAAAAAGGGAAGGGCTGAAAATGGAGTTAATGATCGATCATGCCTAAGTGATGAAGCCTCCATAAAAATCCCCAAAATATGAGGTTCAGAGAGCTTCCGGGTGGGTAAACCTCTGGAGGTGCTGCGAGAGCAGCCAGCCCAGGGAGGGCATAGAAGCTCTGTGCCTCTTCCTACATACCTTGCCCTGTGCATCTCTTCCACCTGGCTGTTCTTCTGTACCCTTTATCACATCCATCTTTCATAAATCAGTAAACATAAGTAAACTGTTTTCCTGAGTTGAGTGAGCTGCTCTAGCAAATTAATCAAATTGATACCCCTCAGCCCCGGCCCCAAGGAGGGGGTCATGGGAACCTCTGATTTATACCAATTGGTCAGAAACACATGCGGCACCCTGCACTTGCAACTGGCATCTGAGGTGGTGTAGAGAGGGGCAGCCTGATGAGACTGAGTCCTTAACCTGTGGGATCTGATGCTATCTCCAGGTAGACAGTGTCAGAATTGAGTTCAATTGTAGGACACTCACCTGGTGTTGTGTAGAGCTGCTTCGTGTGGGGGAAAAAAACCCACACATTTGGTGACCAGAAGTGTCAGAAGTGAAGTGTAGTAAAGGAGACACACAGGAGAAAAGGAAGACTAGGTTTTCCCAAAGGCACCCTACCTTCTCCTTTGCTAACAAAAACTACCAAAATATTGGTTATTTTCCTGTTTGGTGTCCTCTGGCTTCCCTCCCTGGAGCGAAAGCAAATCCCCAAAGCTGTCAGCATGAGGCCTCACCACTACCACATACTTGCAACTGGCAAAGCGGACGAGTCCATCTGAAAAGAGGTAAATCCGTAGAGGATCATAGGAGGTGACGTAAACATAGATTCGCAGATCGAACTTGCTGCCGCTGATGAGGTAGGGTTTGTGGAGATACCTACACAGGGAAAGGCCAGCTTCAGGGACAGGACAGATGTGATAGGGCTTGGTAGGTAACTGAGCCATGGCAAAAGCCAGCTAACGGTCTCCAGGACAAAGACCTTTAAACAGCTGGCTGAGGAAGTTTTTTGGCTGGGAGGACAAAGGACAAAATAACATCATGAAAAGGGAACCTCCAGGCTGAGAAGATGGGAAACGGGGAGCGGGATCTGAGCTGGAGACCGGCTCACCTCTGTACCAGAAGGGGTCTTCGCTTGGGGAGCTGACTCCACTTGTGAATGACCTGGATGCCAATGCCTCGAGCAGATGCCGGCTAGAGGTCAAGGGGAGAGGAGAGGAGCTGTTTACCTGGCCAGACACTCCGCTGTTCCCACTCTCAGGCCCTGGCCTGCCACCTGCCATGATCCACTCACTGGTTTAACAATCCACTTTTGGCGGCTGCTGCTCTCCCAGGCTTTGCGCAGAAGCTTGGCATCCTGGGGCAGGATGAAGGACTGGGGGAAGAAACTGAACTCCTTCTTGCCAAACCGGCTCTGCATGCGGGACAGGTTCCGCCACAGTCGGTCCTTTCGCCCAATCTGGAATGAACCTGGGAAGTGGTTTAGCTACAGAAGGGACAAAGGGTGAGAGTAGGGACAGAGAGAGTCCGGGTGAGGCCACAAGGAAGACAGCAAGATTCCCTACACCATTTCAACATTCAAAGCTCCTGTTCCATCTGATTATCACCGTCTAAAGGTCCTTAAGTATTCAGCTGCTGAGCGTTCACCAAAAAATGATTAAAACCCAAACACAACAAAACAGAGTGCCCTTTAGGAGTCAACAGTTCACGACATAAAACAGTAACTAAGACAGACATAATATTCACTTAAGAGCAAAGAAAAAGCTGTTAAGTCTTTTTCCATGCCTGTAGGACAAAGACAGGAAACTACCTGGCTTTCCTGGGGAAAAGGGACTATTCATTCCAGCATGAGACCAAAGTCCTCTTTACACATATTCAGCTTGGAGGAATGGAGGCAATGCGCAGCGGTTACAGGAGAAACATAGTAAACTGAAAACTGACACTGCATCTCAAGACACTAGAGGAAAAAGTGTCTTTTAGAGGCTGCAACTATCTAAGACACCGCAGCTGAACTACTACTAGACATGCGTGATCTGCTGGGGGCTTACCCCGCACCTGCCTCCTACACTTCCTACACTCCCCTATGAACCCTCCTGACTTCTCCATGGTCATCCTCCTCTTCCCCCACTTCCAATACCAGCCTCCTCCTGCCCAATCCAGAGTCCAGGGGAAGAATGGCTCAGAAAGGGCCCCTACCTTCTGATGCTCCTGAATGGATCGGAAACTAGGAGACTTCATGTGGTGACCCCAGCAGCCCAGCCAGTCATCATTCCCTACAGAAGGCACATCAGGAAGTCAGTCCTGCTTGCAGCTCAGTCCCTGGGACAGACAGAGGCTCAGAGGCCCCAGAAGTACCACTGGGCCTGGGCATAGCTCCCAGCCCCGGTTTTCTAAGAGTTGCCATGGAGCTGTCCTACATGAGGCCCTGGGGTCAGGACTAGAACAATGGGCCTCTGTCTTCCAATTTTGAGGAACAGACTCCAGCCCAGAGGGATTTCAGACCTATGTCCTCCTATGAAGTTGGAAACTTCAGGACAGGGTGCCCACATAACAGGAGGTATCTAGGGCTCCGTTCCCGCCCAAAGCCCATCTGTTGGGGCAGAGGACAGGCTCGAAGTAAGGCAAGCGACTCACTCTTGCTGATTTTGAAGTGGGACCGTCCAATGGTCTGCTTGACAATGTTGGGGGTCACTGTGCTCATCTTCCACCGGAGCAGCTTCCTCTGCTCCCAGGGAAGTTTCTCCACTGGGGGAAAGCAGGGAGGTGGGGGGAGAGTGTGGAGAAGAGCAGGAAAGTCATGGTGAGAAGAGGTAAAAGATGGCACTGTTGCTCAGCCTTCCCTGGGTAGGCAAGTCACTAAGTATTGTCGCATATCAGAGTTTGAAAGGAGCACACTTTGGGGAAGAAAGGAGGCTGCACAGGAATGAGGAAAACAGAGAGGAGAGGCGGTTGAAAGGGGAAAGACACAGGTTAGAGGGCAAGAATGATCATGAAATTATGGGGCTGAGAGGGTCAGCCAAAGGATGGACAAGATAAAGATCCCCCACCAGACTGGTGAGCCAGGCGGGGAACCAAGCACCAATACAGGCATTCTGGAAAGCCCCTTCCACCCTATTGCCACCCCCTCCCAACTTCGCTAGCATCCTTCTCCTGCGGGTTCTTCTGGGCTGACACTTGGCCAGGTTTACCTCTCTCATCTGGAGTGCCAAAATAGATGGTAGGGGGCACGTTGGGAAAGAGACTGTAGATGAGGGCTGGTCGGACAACTTTCTCTTTGGAAAGGGGTTTGGTCAGAATCTCCATACAGTTCCTAAGATGAAAAACAGAAATGTGGTAGAGAAAGGGAAAGCCACAGCCCTGAGTGCTGTTACTATTACATATTTCTTCCAGGGCACTATCTTTTACACTTTGATTCTACAAAAACAAGTGCTCAATAATCATTTTGCAAATATTAATCCATAAGGTGCTACGGCTAACCTATACACAGTCACACCATTAAAAATCACCTAAAGACAAAGTTTTCCAATACTTCATTCTATGAGACAACTCCAAAATTTCCTATGACAAGCCACAGGCTGAGGAGGTTCCTGAAAAGACTGGTTCTCAGAGAGCAGGTAATGAGTTTGAGTGGATACTAGTAGAGGAATATACTACACTAAGACTAAGAGAAATAACAAGGAGAGAAAAAGAATGATATGGGTAACTAAAAAGGAGGAAAAGCAGAAAAGGTAGAAAAGAACTAAGAAGAGATACAGAAATTTTTAAAAAGAAAAGGGGGAAAAAGGCAACAGAAGAAAAGAAGTAGTGCTACTCCTAACTCATTTTACATTTATCTGAAAATATATGGTTGATTAATGCTCTTCTCTGTTTTAAAAATGATTCGTTAACATCTTATTTTTACATAACAATGTGGTAACACATGTCTGGGAATCTGCGGCAGTGGGCCATGGGGTCCCTACTGTTATTCCAACAATGTCTTGGCCAAGGCTAGCTCAAGGAGTCTCAAAATAGTGAAAACCTCAACTATCTATTGACAGACCCAGACCATTTCTTCAAACAGCATTGAAAGTGGAGAGAGTAGTTATTACTCTCTATACTGAGCTATATGATCCACAAATATTTTTTAAGATTAATTTTTAGCTTATAAAGAGCCACTCTACTTGTTGTTTTCTTTTTTTTTACGCGGGCCTCTCACTGTTGTGGCCTCTCCCATTGCAGAGCACAGGCTCCGGACGCGCAGGCTCAGCGGCCATGGCTCACGGGCCCAGCCGCTCCATGGCATGTGGGATCTTCCCGGACCGGGGCACGAACCCGTGTCCCCTGCATCAGCAGGCGGACTCTCAACCTCTGCGCCACCAGGGAAGCCCTCTACTTGTTATTTTGCAGCACGACAGAAATAGGCACTGTATGTAAAACACTTCAGTGTTTCAAACCTTAGAGATTTTTAGTGCATTTTATTGGGTCAAGTTAAATATTAATTCCTAATTAAATAAATCCAATTAATTCAACTCTATTCCTCATTTCCAAAGTATTTTACTTTAAAGGCTTTCCATTTACTGAGTATCAGAATTTAAGATTGTTGAAAATCAAGGAGAATGAGTTAATGTTTAAAAACAAAGACAAGATAGGAATGCAAAATGGTGCAGCCACTCTGGAAAACAGTTCTGGCAGTTTCTTAAAAAACTAAACATGCAGATTTCCCTGGCAGTCCAGTGGTTAAGACTCTGTGCTCCCACTGCAGGGGGCTCAGGTTCAATCCCTGGTAGGGGAACTAAGATCCCACATGCTGTGTGGCACAGCCAAAAAAGAAAAAAATCAAACTAAAGAAACTAAACATGCAATTACCATAGAACCCAGCAATTACACTCCTGGGCATTTATCTCAGAGAGGTGAAGACTTATGTTCACTCAAAAATATGTACACAGTTGTTTAGAGCAGCTTTACTCGTGATAGTCAAAAATTGGAAACAAACAAAATATCCTTCAGCAGGTGGCTGGTTAATCAAACTGTGGTCCATTGATACCGTGGAACACTACTCAGCAATATAAAGGAATGAACTATGGATACACGCAACAACCTGGATGAATTTGCAAAGAATATGCTGAGTAAAAAAAGCTAATCTCAAAAGGCTATATATGGCTATCATTCCATTTGTATAACATTCTTGAAATAACAAAACTATCAGTTGCTAGGGGTTAAGAAGGGGATGGGAGTAGGAAGGAAGGAAGTGTGCTCTCAGGACAACAGGAGGGATTCTTGCAGTGACGGAAATGTTTACATTTTCACTAATGTTAATGTCTTGATTGTACTAAATTGTACTACAGTTTGCAAGATGTTACACAGGAGGGACTTCCCTGGTGGCACAGTGGTTAAGAATCCGCCTGCCAATGCAGGGGACATGGGTTCGAGCCCTGGTCTGGGAAGATCCCACATGCCGCGGAGCAACTAAGCCCCTGCGCCACAACTACTGAGCCTGTGCTCTAGAGCCCGCAAGCCACAACTACTGAGCTCGTGCACCACAACTACTGAAGCCCATGCACCTACAGCCCGGGCTCTGCAACGAGGGAAGCCACTGCAATGAGAAGCCCACGCACCTCAACAAAGAGTAGCCTGGCTCGCCGCAACTAGAGAAAGCCTGTGGGCAGCAATGAAGACCCAATGCAGCCAAAATAAAAAAAAGGATGTTACCACAGGGGGAAACTGAGTAAAGAATTCAGGAAATCTCTGTATTATTTCTTAAAACTGCATGGAAATCTACAAATGTCTCAAAAGTTTTATTAAAAAAATAAATATCTTTGTTAGCTGCCTCTCAAGAGTACTGAACTTAACCTCAATGGATCTGGCTTCTGGTTTAGCAGTGCTAGAAACCTTGACCTTGCAAATCGTTACTTAACTTCTCTCCTCAATTTTCATGTCTGAAAAAAAGAGGCTGGACTTGATGACTACCATCTCTAAATTTACACAATTCTTAGAAAAAAAAATATGGAACAGGAAATGTAATAAACTATTGCTGAATAGAGAAGCAGAGGTAGTGATTTCAATGATCTTTCTGTGACTGCAAAACTTTCTATAATAAATATATAAATCTTTCATAATTGGGAAAAAATAAGATTTTTGCAATCCAAAAATATTTCTGATTTTAGTCAAAATGCAAAGTAGTTTAGAATTCATCAACCTCCATTTGCTTGAACTCATGTTTTAAGCTTCATATAGACTGTATATTTTGTAGAAGTTAAATTAATTAATGAGCAAATAATTAACAAACACTTTTGTGAATTTTATCTTATAAATCAGAAAGGTTAAATAAAGGGCTGTTCAGCTGCCTTGAAGTAGGCCTGAACACAAACCTAGATCGCCCTTAAGTGTGGAAAAGGGGTTCCAAGTCAATTAAATGTTAAATATATTTCTCTTCTGGATAGTGGAGGTGCTTAGTCAACATCCAATATATATGACCAGGAGTAGTTTTGCTTTTCTGAAAGAACAATGGGTTAGGCTTAAAGTAACAGAATTTATGCACCAGATTCAGGATACCTATGATAGGATTTCTACTAATCTTCACAGAAAGTCCCAATTTTGTCTCTCCACTTTCCAAACAACTCTCTCCACCTCGTTAGTTTGGGACTCTAAAACTAGTACGGCCGCTGCACCATGTGAATGTGCACCATCACATTCAGAGATGCAGCCTGCCTTGTCCGTACTAATCTTAGGTGAGGCTAACTTTTCCTCTTAGCTTCATCTAAGGCACAACTGACACAAAGGAAAGCAACCAGAATCTGGGTGCTCCACATGCTAGGCAAGCCTCAACACATATGGCCAGATTTTAATTAAAATTAGAATAGAAATTTTGCTTTTTTTACATTTTCAGTAGAAATTATTTTTTAAAAGAAAAAAACTTTAATGTTTAGTACTTTGTGAGGGTTCTTTTTCTTTTCTTTTTTTAAAAATTTATTTTATTTATTTATTTTTGGCTGCATTGGGTCTTTGTTGCTGCGTGTGGGCTTTCTCTAGTTGCGGAGAGCGGGGGCTACTCTTCATTGAGGTGCATGGCCTTCTCATTGTGGTGGCTTCTCTTGTTGCAGAGCACGGGCTCTAGGGTGCACGGGCTTCAGTAGTTGCAGCACGTGGGCTCGGTAGTTGTGGCCTACTTGCTCTGTGGCATGTGGGATCTTCCTGGACCAGGGCTCGAACCCACGTCCCCTGCACTGGTAGGCGGACTCTTAACCACTGTGCCACCAGGGAAGCCCATGAAGGTTCTTTTTAATATCTAATAATAATTAATGAAGACAGAGCTTCATATTGAGACAAGGTTGGAAGTGATGAGGGAAACAAGGAAGATTATATTGAAGAATGTTAACTTTCTACCCAGAAAGTTGATCTATATGATCCTTAAGCAAGTTCTAAAACTCTTTAGCACAATGACATGTCCTCATTTACAGTAATTTCCTCTTAGTCCTGCATTCCTTCCTCTCCCTGGACTCCCCATCTCAGTTATACAGCATTCTACAACTATCTGTTTTATGAAAGAAGGGTCTACATTAAGAGACTGACTTGTTGGTTCCCTAGTTAGAGATGGGTATCACTCAGATTCCACAAAGGGCAGCCAACAAAATAATCTAGATTAAAGCTAGCGAATTTTAAATTCAATTTCTTATTACTAAGGTCAACATCAGTCTTATAAAACTAACCTCTGAAGGGAGCAGAAGAGCATTGCAAAAAGCTCCAGTTAGCAGTATATCTATCTCAGAACTGTTTCTGCCTGTGGGACATACTCATAATGCAAGGTGGCAATTACCCTCAAGTGGGTAGCCTAACTAAGAATCTACCTCAAACAATATGGGTCTTCATTAATTAGTTATTAATTTTCTAAATACTTCTTGAAATTATTTGCTTTTTACCTGAACAATTTCTTGAAGCCTAAAGACCAAACTGCAGCCTAAGAAACTTGGTACTGTTTTTAAGCCCCACTGATAAAATATGCTTCTGTTCCCTTCCACTGTTTCCTGTTTAAAAACGAAAGTCCTAATGTAAAAATTTGGTAAAAATGAGTTAGGGTTAACAGGGCCATTAATTAATGACTTAGGTGATTAATCTCTTTATAATCTTAAAGAGACGGAAAATGGGCCTCTACCAACGATCTGCACAGCCAGCACTCACCGAGAGATCACTGCTACTGACTCACTGGGGGAAACAGCACTGCATGAGGAGCACTCTGAGTCTCCTGCGGGTGAAAAGCAGAGAAGTCCCAGCTAGGAGAGGCTGCCACACAAAGTCACCAAGCCCAGGCAGCTCTTCCTCAGACATCTTGGCTCAGCCTTCTTACAGAGTCACAAGCACCCGCTGCTGCCTTGCATGGCGCCCCCGAAGCTCGACAGCAGCAGGGAGAAGGCAAGACTCGGGGGATGGGGGACTAGAGAGCAAGTCCCCCAAAAGCCACTACTACCCTTAGACCCCCAAGGCGAATGATGAATGTAGGTGACAAAGTGAGTTAAGGATCTGGTACACAATTGTTAGTCCCCTTCCCTAGCGGTGGTGACCCATGCCCAGTTGGAGGTGAGAGGGTCCCCTACTCACCCTCCTCCTCTTCATTCTCATCATGGTTGCAGCAGTCTTCCAAACCATCTATTAGCTCTTCTTCCAGATCTTCAGCTTCAACCTGGTCTAGCTGGAGGTCAGTAGCTGAACTATAAGAAAGAATCATGCCCCCGGCCCAGCCAACTCCATAAGAGCGGTCACAGTTGGATTCTCATTCCTTAATCATCTCCCAATGTTTGTCTCTTCCCCAGTCACCAATCTGCTGGCCCTTGCCTGGGCCTTACAACTATTCCTCTTGTCCTCAGAGCTTAGGTCTAGCCATAGTTCCTCAACCCTACATCCCCTATTCTGCAGAGAGGCACTATGTCTTCCATCTTCTTTGATGTCCCTCATGGCATATAAAAACAAAATTCTGAATACAAAACACCATCAATCAATGTGTGGTAATAGACATCAAAGGTCCCTAGACTTCTCTCTGGGAACTCAGAACAAGGCCTTGGTGGACCACGGTTCCAGAGAAGTAACAAGACACAAGAGAAGAAGCCAAGTATGTGTATGCCCTAACTCTGAAACGGCTGTCATACCAGGACTGACTGAGAATCTGATTTGGTTTGGAATTAAGTAGAGAAATCACAGTTTGCAACACATGATGTTTGGAATTCTTATTTTTCCCTGGTTATAACCTAAAGCAAGGCTTAGCAAACTCTTCCTCTAAAGGACAAGACAGTAAATATTTTGTTTTGTGGGCCATTCAGTCTGTCGCAACTACTCAACCCTACGGTTATAACAAAAAAGCAGCCACAGACAGTAGTAAATGAAGGAGTAAGGCTGCATTTCAATAAAACCTTATTTATAAAAGCAGGCAGAGGGTGGGATTTGGCCTGCAAAGTGTAGCTTGCTGACCTCTGCTCTAAAGTGAAAACCAAACTTCTACAGCAGTTAAGAAACAAAACCAACCTCCAGAGACAGACGGTCAGTGTCACCAAACATGTATACATTCTACTGCTTTAAATGAACCAAAAACCTTCTCCGACTTACCCAATATCCCTAGCAGGTGAGTCCAGCTTCCTGGCTTCCTTAGGCTCCTCCCTCCCAAGCTTGCCCAGATGGATGGAAGAGAGGCGGGTGGCCACCTCGGCCACGCCAAGGGGCTGAGGGGGAGAAGGCAGAGCTGGAGTTTTGTCTTCTCCAAGAGGTGGGGAGTTGATTGCAGATCCACAGGCAGGGCTGCAGCTGAGCCCACTGGCGTGTGAGGCAAGGAGGTGAATACTGATGTGTTTGGTACAGAAGACTGTACTGTCCAGCTCCATGGTGTCCGAGGCTCCAGGGAGGACGCTACTGTCTGCTCCAGCATTCTCCTGAGGGAGCTGCTGGCCTACCACAGCTGGTTTCCACCACCTGTTCCTGTTGAGGACATCCCACTGCAAGCTGGGGTTCATGAAATAAGACTGTTCAAAATGGTAGCCTTGCCTTGGCTTCTTCTCAAAGCCTCTTGCAGTCAACTTCCTCACAGCCTCAGTGAACCGAACCTCCTTAGTCAGATTCTGGGAAACAGAGTCCCCATCCAGGCCACAGGGATGTGGCTCTGCCCCTGTGGCTAAGTTACTCCAGTTGTAGTGGGGAGAGGCAGCACTGGTGGTGGAAGCGTCTAAGGAACTGGGGATAGACAGGGTGCTGTGGGAAGGGTCATCATCTAGGACAGTGCCACTGCTCTTGGGCACCTTGTGCTCAACAGGCTGGAGTGCACAGTCTCCAGTGCCCCCTGATTGATGCCAGGAGACAAGCTGGACCTTCGGTGAGGATACTGGCTTCAGGCCTTCTGTGGCCTGCAATAAAGGCACTTTAGTGCTATTTGGCCGCATGAAGGAGTTGTTATTTAGCATGGGCTTGTAGGAAGAGGAAGAAGAGGAGAGTGGAGACGGGGTCTTCCCTGAGATGGCAGAGGCCAGGCTCTTCCCTGAAGGATTTTCCCCAGCTGCTCCCAGTGAGAGGTATGGTTCTGTGGATGAGGATGCCATGGGGGAGACCTTGAAAGAAGTGGCCTTATTGGCAGTGAGTCTGATAGGGAGTCTCTTTTGAGGGAGAGAAAGAGGTCTTTTTTCTGACAGGCTTGAATGCAAGCAGAAAGACTCCAGCTGCTGGTATGGTCTGTGGCCGTAGTTGGAGTGGCGGTAGAGCAGGGTGCTGCTGAACAGGTCCGGGAGGGAGTGCAGGTAACAGGAGTTGCTGTGGCCTGCAATGACAGCCGTGCTCCCGGAGCTACATAAAGTGCTGGGGCAAAAGAAGTATGTGGGCTGCGGTGGGACACCCAAGAGGCCTGGGCCCAACCCTGCTGAAAGTGTTCCCACGTGCTTCTTCTCCACCTTCCAGATTGGCTTCACCTGCTGATGACCCTGAGCCCAGACTTTGCCCTCAGAGGGTTTCTCAGGTGGCGGGGTAGGCACTGTGCCTGAGGGCCCACTCGGCTTAAAGCTGTTTCCCCGGCCAATAGTGTAGTGCTCTGTTCTTGCTGAGGCCATGAGGAGCCCACATCACGGCCACGTGGCCTCATGGCCCAGCTCAGGTAAGGAGCCTCGTACCTCCAGCAGTAGCAGCCGCATCCTTGAGGTCCGTCAGCCTGGAGGGCAGAGAGACAACTGGGAATGTTACAGTCCTAGAAGGACAGACACAATGCTACAGTGGTGCCCAGGCAAGGAAGAGCCCCACCTCAGCACTTCTTGGGCAACCAGTCTTGGTCATCAATTGGGGCCCTGGGAGAAGAACACTAGATCCTTAGGGTGTTTTCAGTGGACTTCCTGCTGCCCTCATGCAACCAAAGCTGGCTCCATCAAGGACTGGGACACTAAGGTGCCACCAGTGTAAGTCTGTTCACATGTTCCCACCCTCTCACTCAGAGAGCTCTTTCCTCTCTCTCCAAAGAAAAAAATTACCTTTCTGTCTCATCATCCACAACTTTACACAAGTGGTTTCGTTCCCTCACCTGACACGAGTGTGCCTAGGAATAAGGCAAGTCTGGGTGTGGCAGAGAAACCAGCTAATACCTTCCTCCTCATCAACCAATTCTGAATGGCCAAAGATCATTTGAGAAGCATATTTTACATCTACTGCTCCCTCACCAATTCTCAGCTGCCCCTGATGTGGTCTGCTTTTCACAGTTAAATGTGACAAGTTCAGGTAAGAGCAGAGATTTCTCCTGCTGACCGCTGGAGTGCATTCTGGAGCTGAGACAGTAATTTCGTCTCTTCAAGTGTCTTGCCAACTATATAGGCTTAAATTCCAACCAACGTGTTGGTGGGAAAGAGAAGAAACAAGATGGAACTAGACACCAACATTCTTTATATTTAAGGTGACTTTATTTCCAGCAGCCACAATGGGACAGGAAAGGTCAGGGAGTAGAGTACAGAGGCGAGAAGAGGAGAGAAACTTTCTTTATTCCAAATCCCAGCCTTCAGTTTGAGCTGATTTGGGGGAAGGAGAACGTGTCTCTTACATTTCCTCATTGAATCTTTCCTCTAAAGCAAAACCTCTGAACCAGCCTGTAGTTCTGGGTTCCCAACAGTCAGTTCAGTATGGTCTCTTGCTTTCTAAGCCAAATTCACAAAATATTCTGCAGTTTTCACACCTGCAGGGAAAGGTGGGTCTGCTTTCACGACAGCATCCAGGGGAAAAATAATACAAGACCCTTTTATAAGAAGTCATTCATCTGGGATAATTCTAAATGAAATCCTGGCATCTTCATCAAGTGTTTTCAGAGTGGCTAGAGGGAAGGAATTAGCAGAGAATTTTTTTGCTCAAGTTACATTTGAGACACAGTCAATGGGAAGAGGACTTTGTATTTTGATAGGAGAATTCCTGTCTACAGCTACAGGAACTGTTGGTGTTGTCTACCAACAAAAAGCCTGCAGAAGCCACATGATGTCGCCCTCTTTTCCTGAAAAGGCTGACCTATGTGGATTCTTTCTCAAGGAGAGTACCAAAAAATCACTGCCAATATTCAAAATGACAGTGGGCAAAAGACAGCATAAGGGCTAAAACCAGATATGATGCCAGTAACCGCAAATTAAGGTAACAGAAAATGGACCTCCACCAAGTCCAAACTATGGAAATACTGTGCGGGGGACAGTTATACTCTGCACTTATGGTAGAGAAGCACACACAAAGGGAAGGGTCAAATCCTGCCAGTGATTTTTTAAGACCACACACCTGAGTGTGTGTCATGTACACTCAACAGATTCACGTCCCAATTCACGTAGTCATCTTTCAGGAATCTACGTCTTTCCCCACCGATGCAGCACAACAGATTCACCAAAGTGATGGCAAAAAGGGCTAAGGAAACAAGATTTCAGGCTGGTGCTCCCTGAATATCACCCAACTTGTGGCTCGTCACGTGCATCCTCCTATCTCAGACCTTCATGTCTCTACAAGTATCGCTCCCTAGAAGCCTTTCCTTCTCTTCCACCAGACAAAAAATAAACAGCTCAAATATCACTTTCACCAGGCAGCCTTTCTGGACTCCCCAGTTCAAATAGGATGCCTCATCTCTGTGCTCGCCACCATCACTGTCTGTATTACACTGAGCTTTAATAATGGACTACTCATCTGACTAGGAGCAAGGAGCATGTTGTCCTTCCCCTGATGTCCCCAGTACAGGGTCTCACCCACAATAAGTGCTCAATATTCTGTTGAATAAATAAACTGAAAAAAACACAGTAAATAAAGGGGAAATACACTAGAACTGATGAATGCTAGTTTGGGCACCTAATAAATACCAAGTACTACGCTCATCGAATCCTCACAAACACCCTATGTTCAATTTGCTGATGATGAATCCAAGACTCAGTAAAGCTAAGTAACTTTTCTATAATTAAACAACCAACAAGGAGTGGCTAGATTAAAACCTGAGTTTGACTCCATGCTGCCTCTTAAATAGAAATGAAACACACACCTAGGCCCTGTTCCCTCACTTATCCCTAACCTTCAGGTACAAGACAAAAGGCAGGTTGGAAACACTCCTCCACTGTTTATACTGAGCCCCCTTTGCGGGTGAAGTGCCCAAGAGCACACCATTGCATCCTCATCTGCACCGCGGGCAAGCCCACTTTCCCTCATAGACATGGGTACCCACTGCACACCTCGGGGCTGGGTGAAGAGAACCCTCCTCTCTGCACACACTGCTCAATGTCTGCCTCTCTGCAGCCCTCCACACGAATCCTCGGTGCCAGGAACACTGGACGCAAGTGGCCCGGCATCTAGCTGGCTTCACTTTTAATCCAAATGAGGAAGAGGAAGGCGAAGGATATACTCCCACCCTCTTCAGAAGCTGCGGGTGGCCTGCTGGGCTAGTGCCAGAGTAAAGTGGATTCTCTTCTCTGTGACTAACAGGATTCTAGATCTTGTATGTGTCTGCAATGGCCATTTCCCACAGGGCATTTGTTTTTCCTTGTCTGACTTATCTTACTTAGCATAATACCCTCTAGATCCATCCATGGTTTTTTTGCTTTTTTAAAAAAAATATTTATTTATTTATTTAGGCTGCCCTGGGTGTTAGTTGCGGCACGCGGGATCTTCGTTGCAGCATGTGGGCTTCTTAGTTGCGGCATGCATGTGGGATCTAGTTCCCCAACCAGGGATTGAACCCGGGCCACCTGCATTGGGAGCACGGAGTCTTACCCACTGGACCACCAGGGAAGTCCCCCACCCATGTTTTTGCAAATGGCAAGATTTCTCTTTTTATGGCCAAGTAATATTCCACTGTATATATGTGCCACATCTTCTGTGTCCATTCATCTATCACTGGACACTTGGGTTGCTTCCATAACTTGGCTATCGTAAATAGTGCTGCAGTGAACACTGGGGTGCTACCAGCATCTCCTTGTTGCTGCTACTTTACTCAGTGTAGGAACTCTGGCACAGCCACACCCAACTGCTTCAACAGTGCCTTTTCCTCCAGAGGTCCGCTCCAAAATCCTCCACAGCTCCTCTCTTTTATCCTCTCTCCCACATCAAACCAATCTGCTCTCACCACTTCAACTATTACCTGCAGGCGACGAGTCACTTTTCAGACCCGACTTCTCTCAAGCTTTGTGTCCTCATCGCCAACTGTCTTCTCCACCTTTTCCACAGGCAAGTCCAACCACTTCAGCCCAGCTTGTCAGAACAGCTCTGCACTCTTTTTTTTGGCCGCACCTTACGGCTTACAGCATCTCAGTTCCCCAACCAGGAACTGAACCCGGACCCCGGCAGTGAAAGTGCCAAGTCCTAACCACTGGACCTCCAGGGAATTCCCTAGCTCTGCACTCTTGACGTTCCAATTTCTTTCAGTGGAAATTTCTTTCTCTCAGTCACCTAAGAGGAAAACTTAAGTCACTTCTGATTTCTTCCTTTCTCTTAATCTCCAAAGCCAAACCAGTCACAAAACCTAAGAGATTCTTTCTTCATAGCATGCCCCCTCCTTTCATTTCAACCGCCATCCCAGATCCGGACTGCTGCAACAGCTTCCACACTGAAGTTTGTGTCTCCAGGGTCTGCCCTTCCTAATTCCATTCTGCAGGCAACCTCCAGGTTAACTTTGCTTAAATGTTACTTGATCAGTTACCTTTCCAAAAATTTTCCATGAGTCCTTCTTTAATATCACAGTAGCCCACCAACGACCTGCATCAGAATAACCTGGGGTACAGATTCCTGAGCCCCACTTTCAGAGAGGATTCAGTGGGTCTGAGGTAGGGCCAGGGATCTGTATTTTAAACAAGGCTTCTACATGATTCTCATGTAAGTCAATAAATAAATTCCAGACTTCTTAGCCTGAGTCTGGCTTCTGTCTTTTTTTAAGGTGTATTTCCATTTCCTTCCACCTTTAACTCTGTTATATGACCTGTTCTGGTCTTGTACTAATCCTTTCAAACCAGTCTGCAGGCCCTTACTCCACTCAGCCTCTTCCTTCCGAATCCTTATCATATTTTATTTACCTTTTCCAGGCCCAGCTCAAGCTCCATCCTACCCATGAATATCTGTTGTGTAATTTATTCCTCTAATTGGATACTTTGTAAAGGCTATCTTTTACCGCTGTTCTCTTCTCATATGAATATGCCTCATAAGCTCCATGATGGTTTTTACAGGAAAATCTTGTGTTTCTGTAACAGATAAATGCACAGCTATGCGAGTAGAAAGAAGGAGGAAGATCACTGCCTTAGTCTGGCCTCCTCCTCAGCAATGCCACCCAAGCCTCCCCGCAAAACGTCATGAGGTATTAAGGCTCCCTAGAACAAAGTTTAAAAATTAATTGACTTGAGGGTGATGAATATTTTCAATGTCAGTTATACCTCCACAAACCTGTTAAAAAAGAAACAATTTTTTTTTCCCTTAAAGGGATAAGAAAGGAAGGTAAAGAACTGCTGAGCATTCTGAAGATAAACAAAATGGCCTCAAACATCCTTTTTTTTCTATTTGCATGACCGGCTCAGTCCAATTCCTAGTCCCTCACCCCCCTCACCAAGTGCAGGGCTGTTGCAGTAGCATCCTGCCTGACGTCCCTGGATCCAGCCTCTCTCCTTCTAAAGCATCCAGTCTCAGGAATCTCAACATCCTACTTGGCCATCTTTAGACAGCATTCAGAAGCTGTCTATCTCATTCTGCCTTCCACTCTCTGTGGGGTCATTTTGCCTCAAGTTTCCTCCTTAAGTGAGAGTGAATGACGAGCAGTCTATGCTAGAAAATCTATGACTGTTGTCTCAAACCATCAAGTCACCAGGGGCTAGGCCCAGAACAACTTGGACAAAGTATCTATTTCTACAGAAAGCAATTATTCATTACACACTGACTGTATCACTCTCCTACATTACAGGAGTGTATGTGGCTCTTGGGATCTGAAGTTTCCTCTTCCTCCTCCATCTAAGTGTTTCCCTCAGTCACAGGGGAACTCAGGACATCGGAAACAGTTCAGAGTCTACAGTCATAAGATCTCTGATGAAATTACTTTAGTTGCTCAACAGTTATGTAAGAAGGTAGAACTGACTTGTCTGAAATCGAACAGAATGAGTATAGGAATCAGACCCATTTTCTCTTATGAGATAAATCCTAAACTATGTCTCCCTAAAGAAAGCTGGAGGAGCATGGAACTTCTTTAAAGTCCTGTTAAGAAAGGAAGGCCAATACCCCAACCCTAATGAGAAGAAAGGGTCACTACCACAAGTTGAGAAGGGCAGCTCTTGTAGAACACAGTTATGTCAGAGTAGTTAGTAAACCTCAGGAAAAAATACAGCTTACAGCAGCTAGAGCTGAGGGAGAGCCATCTGCAAATTACTAAAAAGTGAAAACAGCTGAAGGCTTAACATAATTAAGTGACTAGCTCTCCTGAAGCCTTGACCTTCAGCAGCTTCTGAAAGAAGCCTCAGGTGAGCTCTCTAAAGCAGTGGTCCTCGAAGTGTGGTCCCAGACCCTGAGGGAACCCTAAGACTCTTTCAGGGGTTCCACTAGCTGAAACTATTTTCATAACAAAACTAAGATGTGATTTGCCTTTTTTTACTGTGCCAGCCTTTCCACTGATGGTGCAAGAGCAATGGTGGGTCAAACTGCTGGTTCCTGAGTAGGAGTCGAGACAATGGCACCAAGCGAGATTCTTCACCACCACACACTCCTTCACTGCACAGTGAAAGAAGAAATGCTAGCTTTACTTAAGAATGTCCTTGATGATGCAATAAAAATGAAATCTCAATCCTCAAGTACATCTTTTTAATATTCTGTGTTACAAAATGAGAAGTACATATAAAATAGAAGACGATGGTTGTCTCTAAATAAAGCACTTGTTTGAATTGCAAAATTTCTCTGTGGAACATCATGTTTACTTGAAAGAATGAAGGACACAAAAGTGATGGTTATTCAGACGTTGATACTTGGCAGGCATTCTCTAGAAAATGAAACAGAGTAAGCCTGTCGCTTCAGGGAAAACAGCTGACAGTGTTTGTTGCCAATGATAAAATTTGAGCTTCCAAGAGAAAATTATAATTTTGGCAAAATTGTATCTGCCACCCTGAGCTTGACAGCTTCCCAATACTTAACCATCTTTCTGATGAGTGTGGTGATAATATATTGTTTTTTGATACTGTAAAATAAAATGTGGCAACATTTGTAAGATCTACATAACTCAATGAACCAGTATTTTCTAAATATCTATCACACAATGTCAAAGAATCAGGCACGGGTGAAAGGTCCGGTCAAAGTCAGAGACAGACCAATGGATTCTAATGAAACAAAGTATGAAAAGCTCACTGATAACATTTCAGATTCCATTGCAGCTAAACTGCATAAAACCACCCCTTGTTAACTTCTGTGTAGTACCAAAGAAGAATATCCACTATTGTCTGAAAAGGCCACAGAAATATTCCTCCCTTTTCCTATTATCTATGTGAGGCTGGATTTTCGTCATCATTCAATCACAACATATCGAACCAACTGAATGCAGAAACAAATATGAGAATCCAGCTGTCTTCTATTAAGCCAGACAAGGAGATTCTCAAAAACAATGCCACTCTTCTCACTAATATTTCTGAAACAACCGCATTTTGCATTTTTAAAAATGCTACTTATGTTTACTTGTAAGGGGTTTATTATAATTTCTAAATGAATTAATAAATAAATACTTCAATTTCTAGTATGGAGTAGATATATATCCCACAATAAAAAATACACTGAAGACCCCAAAGAGCTTTAAAAGTGCAGATAAGAGGGACTTTCCTGGTGGTCCAGTGGTAAAGAATCCTCCTTCCAATGCAGGGGACGTGGGTTCGATCCCTGGTCGGGGAACTAAGATCCCACATGCCATGGGGCAACTAAACCCGCACACTACAACTACTGAGCTCCCGCACCTCAACAAGAGAGCCCACATGCCGCAAACTACAGAGCCCACACACCCTGGAGCCCACGTGCCACAACTAGAGAAGAGAAAACCCACACGCCACGCACCACAATGAAAGATCCCGCGTGCCTCAGTGAAGATCCCACGGGCCGCAAGTAAGACCTGAAGCAGCCAAAAATAAATAAATTAATTTTTAAAAAAAACTGCAAATAATGAGAACCTCTGGTCTAGAATAGCACTGCCTGTCCAGGATGTCCAAGAGGCTCCCAAGGCAAGGTCCTTTGTATTTCAGGGCCTAACAGAAATTAGCACTCTCAGTATTTGTTCCAAAAATACCAGGTCTGGCTTCCCAGTTCTGCCAGAAGAGAGGATGAGAAGTTCTGGGCATTAAAGAAAAGTTTTCTCTGCATTTCACCAACAGATCAAAGCATCTGATTGCATGCTAAAATACAGGAAGCCTATGACCAGACAATTCCAAGGTCATAGGAGGAATCTAGCAGGAAAGCTACACTCAACTCCACATCATGAGTACCAGATCCTGAAGTTAAAGGTTCATCTAAGTTTTGCAGGTGAGAGCTGGGTGAAGAATTAAAAACAGTAGAAAACAGGATTGGTTCAAGATGGTGGAGCAGAAGGACGTGCACTCACTCCCTCTTGCGAGAGCACCAGAATCACAACTAACTGTTGAACAATCATCAACAGAAACACCCTGGAACTCACCAAAAAAGATACCCCACATCCAAAGACAAAGGAGAAGCTGCAGTGAGACGGTAGGAGGGGCGCAATCACAATAAAATCAAATCCCATAACTGCTGGGTGGGTGACTCGCAAACTGGAGAACACTTATACCACAGAAGTCTACCCACTGGAGTGAAGGTTCTGAGCCCCACGTCAGTCTTCCCAACCTGAAGGTCCGGCAACAGGAGGCGGAATTCCCAGAGAATCAGACTTTGAAGGCTAGAGGGATTTGATTGCAGGACTTTGACAGGACTTGGGGAAACAGAGACTCCACTCTTGGAGGGCACACACAAAGTAGTGTGTGCATCAGGACCCAGGGGAAAGGAGCAGTGACCCCATAGGAGACTGAACCAGACCTACCTGCTAGTGCTGGAGGGTCTTCTGCAGAGGCCAGGGGTGGCTGTGGCTCACCACGGGGACAAGGACACTGGCAGCAGAAGTTCTGGGAAGGACTCCTTGGCGTGAGCCCTCCTGGAGTCCACCATTAGCCCCACCAAAGAGCCTGTAGGCTCCAGTGCTGGGTCGCCTCAGGCCAAACAACCAACAGGGAGGGAACTCAGCCCCACCCATCAGCACAGAAGCGGATTAAAGTTTTACTGAGCTCTGCCCACCAGAGCAACAGTCAGCTCTACCCACCACCAGTCCCTCCTCTTAGATAGTTTCATCCACCAGAGGGCAGACAGCAGAAGCAGGAAGAACAACAATCCTGCAGCCTGTGGAACGAAAACCACATTCACAGAAAGACAGACAAAATGAAAAGGCAGAGGACTATGTACCAGATGAAGGAACAAGATAAAACTCCAGAAAAACAACTAAATGAAGCTGAGATAGGCAACCTTCCAGAAAAGGAATTCAGAATAATGATAGTGAAGATGATCCAGGACCTCGGAAAAAGAATGGAGGCTAAGATAGAGAAGATGCAAGAAATGTTTAACAAAGACCTAGAAGAATTAAAGAACAAACACCTAGGAGGGACCTTCAAGATGGCGGAGGAGTGAGATGTGGAGATCACCTTCATCCCTACAAATACATGAAAAATACATCTACATGAGGAACAACTCCTACAGAACACCTACTGAATGCTGGCAGAAGACCTCAGACTTCCCAAAAGGCAAGAAAATCCCCATGTAGCTGGGTAGGGCAAAAGAAAAAACAGAGACAAAAGAACAGGGGTGGGACCTGCACCTCTGGGAGGGAGCTGTGAAGGAGGAAAGGTTTCCACACACTAGGAAGCCCCTTTGCGGGTGGAGACTGCGGGTGGCGGAGGGGGACGCTTCGGAGCCACGGAGGAGAGCGCAGCAACAGGGGTGCACAGGGCAAAGTGGAGAGATTCCCACACAGAGGACTGGTGCCGACCAGCACTCACCAGCCCGAGATGCTTGTCTGCTCATCCGCCGGGGCGGGTAAGGCCTGGGAGCTGAGGCTCGGGCTTCGGAGGTCAGACCCCAGGGAGAGGACTGGGGTTGGCTGCGTGAACACAGCCTGCAGGGAGTTAGTGCGCCATGGCTAGCCGGGAGGGAGTCCGCGAAAAAGTCTGGACCTGCCTAAGAGGCAAGAGACCATTGTTTCAGGGTGCACAAGGAGAGGGGATTCCTTCCCTGCCTGCCCACAGAAGGCAGAGCACCGCCTAAACAAGCTCAAGAGAAGGGTACAAGCCGCGACCATCAGCTCAGACACCAGAGATGGGCATGAAACACTGCTGCTGCAGCCACCAAGAATCCTGTGTGCAAGCACACGTCACTATCCACACACACCCCCAACCCCCCAGGAGCCTGTGCAGCCCGCCACTGCCAAGGTCCCGTGATCCAGGGACAACTTCCCAGGAGAACACACGGCACGCCAGGCCCCTGCAATATCATGCTGGCCTCTGCCGCTGCAGGCTCACCCGGCATTCCAATTATAACTACCATACCCCTCCCTCCCCCGCCCAGCATGAGTGAGCCAGAGCCCCCTAATCAGTCGCTGCTTTAACTCCGTGCTGTCTGGGTGGGAGCAGAAGCCTGAGGGCGACCTACATACAGAGGTGGGGCCAAATCCAAAGCTGAACCCCAGGAGCTGTGCAAACAAAGATGAGAAAGGGAAATTTCTCCCAGCAGCCTCAGGAGCAGTGGATTAAATCCTCACAATCAACTTGAGGTGCCCTGCATCTGTGGAATACCTGAATAGACAACGAATCAACCCAAAATTGAGGCAGTGGACTTTGGGAGCAACTGGAGACTTGCGGTTTGCCGTCTGCCACCAACTTGTTTCTGATTTTTATGTCTACCTTAGTATAGTTTTTAGCACTTGTATCACTAGTGGATTTGTTTATTGGTTTGGTTGCTCTCTCTTTTTTTTTAAATTACGTTTTTATTGTAATAATTTTTTTTTTTTTCTTTTTGCGGTACGCGGGCCTCTCGTTGTGGCCTCTCCTGTTGTGGAGCACAGGCTCCGGATGCGCAGGCTCAGCGGCCATGGCTCACGGACCCAGCCGCTCAGCGGCATGTGGGATCTTCCCGGACCGGGGCACGAACCCATGTCCCCTGCATCACCAGGCAGACTCTCAACCACTGCGCCACCAGGGAAGCCCTATTGTAATAATTTAAAAAATATTTTTATTTTATTTTTATTTATATTTATTTTTCTTTCTTTTTTTTCCTCCCGAGCCATGTGGCTGACAGGGTCTTGGTGCTCTGGCCTGATGTCAGACCTGAGCCTCTGAGGTGGGAGAGCCGAGTTCAGGACATTGGACCACCAGAGACCTCCCAGCCCGCACGTAATATCAATCAGCGAGAGCTCTCCCAGAGACCTCTGTCTCAACACTAAGACCCAGCTCCACCCAATGGCCAGCAAGCTCCAGTGCTGGATGCTCCAGGCCAAACAACTAGCAAGACAGGAACACAACCCCACCCATTAGCAGAGGCTGCCTAAAATCATACTAAGTTCACAGACACACCAAAACACAGCACTGGATGCAGCCCCACCCACCAGAAAGACAAGATCTAGCCCCACCCACCAGAACACAGGCACCAGTCCCCTCCACCAGGAAGCCTACACAAGCCACTAAACCAACCTTACCCACTGGGGGCAGACACCAAAAACAAT